GTCATTGTCCTCGTGGTCCCTTCTCTATCCCAGTAGGGCGTTTGCCTTGCACGCAGACAACATGGCCAACCCGAGTTCGATTCCTCCGCCCCTCTCGGAGAGCCCGGCAAGCTACTGAGAGTATTCGATATGCCAAACACAGTAACAACAAAGTCTCCAATGGAGACGTTACTGGGCCCGCTCGAGCTCGGGCCTTTAATTTTTAATATTGAGGTAAAATTAGTTCGCAGTAGTGTAAAATTACTCTTAGGGATACCGTGTTACCATACCACATCCACCACCAAAGTGCAAATAACCGTCCACCTCTGTCCACTCCTCCCCTTAAAGTCACCTCAATTCTCCTATCAGCCTGCAGGGATGTTTTCATTGGCGATTGTCTATCTCCTTGCTTGGTTTCTTTAATACACTTAAGAGTGAGGTCATATGATATTTCTCTCTTATTTTTTTTCTTCTGACTTATTTCGTTTGGCACAACACCTCTAGTTCCATCCATGTTGCCATAAAAACCAAGATTTCATCTTGTACCGGAACTTTGTGTGTGTGTGTGTGTGTGTGTGTGTGTGTGTGTGTGTGTGTACACCCCAGGTTCTTTATCCACTCCTCTGTTGTGGGGCCCATAAGTTGTTTCCAGACCTTGGTTGTTGTAAGCAGAGCTGCCAAGAGCTTAGATTTGGAGTATCTTAGTGTTCTTGGGGAGCCTGCCTGAAAGCGGAGTCTCTGGCTGGTAGGTCCTGTCTTTAATCTGTTGAGAAGTCTCCATACTGCTCACCATAAGGTCGGAACCAGTTCATATTTCCGCGCACAGTGACTTTTTGCCACATACCCATCGGCACTTGTTGTTTCTGGGCCTTGTTGACAGAGATCCATTCTCCCTGGCGAGAAGCAGTATCTCATGGCTGTTTTGCATTTGCCCCCAGTTGTCAGTGATCATGAGCCCCTTCCACCATTGCCTCCGGCCGTCTGTGTGTCTTCTCTGGAGAAAGGTTTGCTCATCTCTTCTCCCCATTGTGGGATGGGACTGTTGTATTATATATATCTGCAATTTATATAGCCTAGCTATAAGCCCTTTGTCAGAAGAATGGTGTCTGAACTATTTTCTCCCCTTCAGTAGGTTATTTATTTATCTTTTTTATTTATTATTCCTCAGGCCCATAAATGTCGGCCCTCAGACCCCGTTCCAGATCTGCTGAATCAAAACATGGGTTTCACCTGCTGCAAGGTGCTTTGGGGGGGGCTATGGACAGCCAGGCCCCAGCTCCTCCGGATCAGGACTGTGATTCCATTTTGTTCTTTTTTTTTTCTCTTTTGGGTCACAGCCAGAGATGCTCAGGGGTTACTCCTGACTCTGCACTCAGGAATTACTCCTGGCGGTGTTTGAGGGACATATGGGATGCTGGGGATTGAACTCGGGTAGGCGGCATACAAGGCAAAACGCCCTACCTGCTGTGCTATCGCTCCAGCTCCTCCATTTTGTTCTTGTGCCTATCGTAAAGGCATGATGGGTGGCTTGGGAGGCAGCAGTGGACGTGTGACCTGCCCCACACTCCCTGTGAGCATTGTTGAACTGTTGGTGTGAGACAGAGTTTCCAGGGGGCTGGAGTGATAGCACAGCAGGTAGGGCTTTTGCCTTGAACGCGGCCGACCCAGGTTCGATTCCCAGCATCCCATCTGGTCTCCTGAGCACCACCAGGGATAATTTCTGAGTGCAAAGCCAGGAGTAACCCCTGTGCATTGCTGGGTGTGACTCCCCCCCCCCCCAAAAAAAAAAGAGAGAGAAAGAGTTTCCAGAGAACAAGTATATGTTCCAAGCCGGTCGCCAATCGAAAACTTCTGTAGATAAACCCCTTTGGGTCACTGAGGGCTGGGGTCACCTGGCTCTGCTCCATGACTTGTTGTGTCCAGCTGGCCACCGAGTTTCTGGAGCAAAGTGTTTCAGATGAGGCCAGTCTTCCCTCGAGGACACATACTGCTGGGCCTGCCTCTCTCCTTGGCCATCTCTCTCCTCGTCCTCGGCCTCTCTCCTCACCCATCTTTCTCCTCTTCCTCAGAAGTGCTGTGCATTGCTCAGGGAGGTGAACTGTTCACCTGTTTCCCCTCAGTCTTCTTCCAGAGAGGATTGAGGCTAAGCTAAGCAGATTTCGAGGTGAAACGGAAAGAGTTGAGTGTTCAAGAACTGTACGTAATGCACGCCAGGTGTGTTCCGGACAGTGATGGTGCATGGGGTCGTGAAAGCCATCCACACACCCCACAGCGGGAGAGCAGGTCACTGAACTCCTCACTGAGACCCACCCAGGCACTGAACTGGCCTTGCACATGTAAGAACGCTGCTAGAGACACGTCTTGAAAGGGCATAATGAGCCCATTTGCTGTGGAAGAATGTCTGGAGCGGGCGGATACCCACCCAGTACAGACGCTTTTTCCCCAGGGAGGGACAATGAGTGAATGGTCTCTTGTTGACCTCCCACTGCTTCCGCCATTTCTAGTATTTCCCTCAGCAACCGCGAGTTGCTTATGTTCTCGAAAAGATAAAGATCACTATGACCTGAGCAATAGGACAGTGGGGAGGACACTTGCTTTGCATGAGGTCAGCCTGGGTTGGTTCCTCGACATTCCATAGGGTTCCCTGAGCACTGAAAGGAATAATTCCTGAGTGCTGAGGCAGGAGTAAGCTCTGAGCACTGCCAGGTGTGCCCCCCCCCAAAAAAAAAAATCAAACAAAAGATAAAGATGACCAAATCGATTCTGGATGAATAAATTAGGAAAGAAGAAAGTGAATTCTACTCTGCATTTGGAATTATTAAATAAACCAAAGATCCTAAGTACCAGGTTTATAGTGTTCGGGCCTCATGGCTGTAGTTATAAGTAGCTGGCAACTGTTTAATGAGGCGGGGAGTGGGGAGAGAGACGGACAGGCTTCTAACATTAGGGCTTAAACACTCAGGAACCAGCATTTGTTACGTTTCAGTCTGTTCCGGGAAGCAAAAGTTAATAATGGTGCCGTCTCGGTCCTGCTTTGCTGGTCTCCGACAGCGGCCTGCCCTTCGCGTGTGGGCTCCGAGTGGCCTGTGCATGGAGAATAGCAATTACGCCAGAGAAACTCCTGAAACCATGGGTTAGAGCTGGCCGGGTGGGTGGTGAGGGGGTGGGTGGAGAGGTGGGTGGCTGGATGGATAGACAGATGGGGGGCTGGTGGTGCTGGGTGGAGGGGTGGGCGTGTGGCGAAGAAATGCACACAGGTGTGCACACAGGTAAAATTAAGCCTGGGTCACTGTTCGCCACCCACGGTGCTATACTCTGGCCCAAGCCACCCTGAACAGACCCCTCACCAGTCCTGCTTCCAACTGCGTCCCGCGGACTCCCCTGTAGGATCTGAGCCCCCCCACACTCCCCGGCCTCTTCCTCTCTTCACCCCACCGGCTTCTCCAGCCACTTGCTCTTCCCCTCTCCCCTACCCAGGGCTTGCCCTCCTGTCTCTGATCCGTAAGGGCCCTCCTCACTCCTCTGGGGCACCTCAAGACCAGCCCCTTTTCTTTTTATTTTTAGGTTATTGATTGCTTTATTTCATTCGTTCTCTTCATCTTTTCTTTTTCTTTCTCTTTTTAAGGAATCACCATGAGGTACAGTTAAGTTACAGACTTACAAACTTTTGTGCTTGCGTTTCAGTTATAAAATGATCGAGTGCCCATTCTCCACCACCAATGATCCCAATATCCCTCCCATCCCCCACCACCCCGTTCCCGACCCTCCCTCCCCCGTCGCCGCCTCTGTGGCAGACACATTTCCTTTTACTCTCTCTCTCCTTTTGGGTGTTATGGTTTGCAATACAGGTAGTAAATGGCCATCATGTTCGGTCTGTAGTCTGCTCTCAGCACGCATCTCCCATCCTGTGCGGGCCCTCCAAGCATCATTCACTTAGTGGTCCCCTCTCTATCCCAGCTGCCTTTTCCCCCAGCACGTGAGGCCAGCTTGCAAGCCGTGGAGCAATCCTCCTGGCCCTCATCTCTTTTATCCTTGGGTGTTAGTCTCCCAGTTCTGAGACCAGCCTCTTTTCTGCCCACTCCCTCCCCCTGTTGCATTTTTCTTCTTAGCGCTTCTCAACTGCTCCTCACCTCCAGTGGAGGAGAAACTCCCCGAGGACCAGGCCCAGTTGCTTGGACCAGGCCCGGTCACTTCCCTCCCGCCCCGTGCTCGGTGCACGCGTCCCTGCTCTTCCTCCCTTGACCGGGGCACAGAGCCCAGCGGGCACACACACAGCTGGGCCAGCTGGGCTCTGTCTCTCGTCCCCACCCAGCTGCAGCCCCCGCCGGGACCTTGGGAGGGAGGAGTGTAACCACATGGGCAGGGGCCACGGCCTCCTCCATCCTGTCTCCTGTGTGTTTTTCCAGTTTATATAGAATTTTAGCCTAGAATAGCAGATGGGGAGGTGGGGGGAAAAAAAACAGTCGTTTCTCCAGAATTCTGGAAACTTCCAACGCATCCATCCCTGGAAAAACCAGCTGCCCCCTCGGGGTGGGATGGCCGGACACGGAGGACGAAGGGAGGACGAGGGGAGGGCACATCTTCCAGAGCTGGGGCTGGAGTTGGTTTCGCGATGGAAAGAACATCTGGGTCTGTCCCCCGAGAGTGATGGTGGAGGGTGGGTGGTCTGTCTGGAATATCAGGTGGGGCTTCCCCATCTTGGTCCCCGCCCCCACCCCCACACACACAGCAGGGGATGAATGAAAGAAGCCTCTGGAACCCCCACTGCTGCCTCCCCCAGCCTCGTCTCCAGACACCCACTGCCCCCGCTCGGTCACCCCCTCTTGGCTGCTTCAAGAGCCCTGGCCTCTCCTCCCTCTCATGCCCCATGTGGTTCGTTAATCGTGTGTGAAATGAGGGTTCTGAGGCCTCACTCATCCGTGTGAGGCTGGGGGTGGGGGGGCCCGGAGCCGGGAGGAGAGGAGGTGGGGTCCTTGAGGACCGCTCTCGACTAAACCCTGTTCCTCTGTCTGGCTCCTCAGATGCAGCTTCTGGATAAGTTTCCCATCGAAGGTGGCCAGAAGGACCCCAAGCAGAGGATCATCCCCTTCCTCCCAGGTAAGCTTCGGGGCCCGGACATGGCGGGAGGTAATGCCTGAGCTGCAGAACAGAGGAGAAGCTTCGAGCAAGCCTGGCCGAGGCCTCAGCTCATGGCTCCCTCCCTGGGGAGTGGGAACCCCAGCACCCAGAGAGCTGGGACCTCTCACACCGTTTGTCTGGGGGTCATCTCTGCTGGTCCAGGCCTGCTAACTGCCAAGAGGGTGGCCTGTTCTGGAACTTGGTTTGTCTTTCATAGAGAGCACCAAGAGGGGCTGGAGCAATAGCACAGCAGGAGGGGTGTTGGCCTTGCACGCGGCCAATCCAGGTTCCATCCCTGGCATCTTATATGGTCCCCTGAGCACCACCAGGAGTGATTCCTGAGTGCAGAGCCAGGAGGAACCCCTGAACATTGGCAGGTGTGACCCCAAAGACAAAAATTAACAAAAAAACAAACAAAAGACCCAAACCAAAAAGCACTGTGAGCACGAGCTCTCCTCAGCATGCCTGCACTCCTTACACGGACCCTGGTGGGGTGGTCGCCATAGAGACCCTGACACCCGTCTGCTCGGTGCCTCCCTACCTGACTCCACACGGCTGAGGCTCCAGGAAGGACCTGACCCAGCCTGGGAGAGTTGGCAGACCAGGCTTTGAACCCGAGTCCGAAAGGTCCTGAAGGCCGTTTGCGGCCAGCCCATCTGGCAACATGTTGATTCTGTCTGTGGTGAGAGGAAACTGTTCCGACTGGGGTACCCTAAATTGGCGTCGAGATGTACTGGTGGGCAGAGTACTTTTTGATTTCATATCGGGCACACAACTCCAGACCCAGGCGAGCGTTCACTCTCGGCTTGGGGGACGAAAGTGTTGGGGTTCAGAGATGTTCAGTCACAGCCCCTGAAAGTGGCAGTGGAGGGGACACTCAGCTCCTCCCGCGCTGCTTGAGCTTCGTGCCCTGGGCACTGGCCGGCTGTCCACGTCCCTGGCACCAAGCCCCAGCACTCAGCCGGCCTCAATCCATGCTTTCCTGCCTGACCCTGAATTAGCAGCTGGCCTCCAGAGCAACGGCCAGCGGTCAGGCCTTTGGGAAAGAGGCAGGTCATCACATCCTTCATCCTTGGCCTGCGGCCCGGACTGCTGATTCGAGCGTGCCCCGCGGCCTGGCTCGCACCCGAGCCAGAGAGAGTTCCTGTAGCCCCCGGGAGGAGCCGCCCCCCCGCCCCCCATGAGCCTAGCTTCTGGCCAGGGAGGGTGGAGGGTATCTGACCCCTTCCCTGGAGGCCAAGACCTCGTCTCTGTCCCGCCTGCGAGTGAATGGGGGGTGCGGCGGGGTGCGGTGTCCTGTCTGGCTGGGCGCCCGCGGGATTCGCACTGTCTGATATCCAGTGTCATGACCTTTGATGTGGCTCTGGCTCACGGAGGACGCCCTGTCCAGCTGGGACAGTGGCTGAAAGTGTCCCTCCCAGCCGCCAGCCTCGTATCCCGGCCTCTGGGCCTTTGTGCCTGGACCAGGAGCACCCCCTAACCTTTAGTCAGTGGGTGTTTCGGAGGAGTGAGGGCCTGGGGTCGGAGAGCCTAATGGGCAGGGGAGGGCTGGATCTTTCCTTCCTCTCAGGAAGCTCAGGCAGGGGAGAGATCAGGCCCGCCCGGAGAAGCGGCCGAGGCTGGGGGTGTCCCCCTGGGCCACTGAATTCCCTTGCGTCATGGGCAGAGGCAAAGGCGGGCAGCTAGGCCTCCCAGAGGTGGGGGGCCCGGAAGCCAGGTGGGACGACAGTCCTGTGCCTGGCAGCTCAGACCCAGGAAAGCCCAGGTGGAAGTTTAGCCGTTTTGCCCTCACAGGGTCTTGGTTTTGGGGGTGCTGGATCATGATGTGCTCTTCCTGCCACACAGATGTGAGCCTGTGGGGGGAGGTTGGGAGGGGGCTGCCGGGACAGCCCTGGGGGTACAGCTGATGGAAGTGAGAGGTGAGAGCCACCCTGGGCGGGAAGGATCTCAGGCTCATGTGGTGATAGGCTTGTTCACCCGCCAGTCACATGCGAGCAGCAAATCCCGGGCATGTACCCTCACGTGGAGGCCATCTGGGGGTGCAAGTCTGAGTTGGGGGTCAGTTCCTTTGGGTAGAAGTGAGATGGTAGTGTTGGGGGTCTGCTGCCTGGTGGAGGTCTCACTGCACATCTGTCAAAGACTTTCAAGGTGTGGGGCTGGAGAGAGAGTACAATGGGTAGGGCATTTGCCTTGCAGTCATCCGATGTGGGTTTGATCCCCGGCATCCCATATGGTCCCCTCCCCAAACCCCACCCCCAGCACTGCCAGGAGTGACTCCTGCGTGCAGAGCCAGGAGTAAGTCCTGAGCATTGCTGGGTGTGACCCAAAAAGCAAGCAAGCAGATAAATAAATAAATAAATAAATAAAGCAAGTGAATAAAAAAATAACCTAGTTTAAAAAGAAATAAAGGAGCTGGAGTGATAGCACAGTGGGTAGGACGTTTGCCTCGCACGTGGTCGACCCGGGTTCGATTCCTAGCATCCCATATGGTCTCCTGAGCACTGCCAGGAGTAATTCCTGAGTGCAAAGCCAGGAGTAACCCCTGAGCATCGCCAGGTGTGACCCGAAAAGCAAAATAAATAAATAAATAAATAAAAATAAAAAAGAAAGACTTTCAGGGCGTCTCCACCTTAAACCTCCCAGCACTTCTCCCAGGCTGGAATAAATTTTCTGGGTCCTGGGGAACAGAGAGCTGCGGACCCCAGACCTTTCAGGCATTGTTGAGACGCAGAGCCCCCAGGAGATATATGAGGAGGGGCCCAGTGTGGGTGGGGGCTCCCCAGGAAAGCCATCAGGGAAAGAAAGTCCCAGCGGGTTTAGGGGGCAGGAAGGGACAGAGAATCACTCCCGGGCTCAGTGCTCTAGAGGCGGTGGGGGTACCCTGTTTGAGGGAGGAAGACCCCCTCTTTTCTTCTCCCTTCCCCCCACAGCTGGCTCATGGGGGGTCATGCTCTTCCAACTGCACCAAGCTCCGCCCTTTGTTGCACCCACTGAGTGCCCCATGGGTCCCTGCCGGCCCCTCAGGGGCCCAATGGGGGGCAGGCAGCATCAGCCCCGCTCCAGAGAGAAATGTCTGAGCCACTGGCAGCGGGGACTCTGCCCACTGTGCCCGGATCTGCCCTAGGCTTAGAGGGCGGCCACAGCAGCCTCTGTGGTGCCGTCTGTGCCCTTTGGGACCTCCACCATGCCCAGGCTAGAGACCTGGAAGGTTCTGGCAGAAGACTCACTCCCCATCCAGGGTCCCTCTCACCTCCATGGCTGTCTGGGGAAGGGGCAGCGGAGACCCAGCAGGTGGGGTGGGTTGTGTGTGTGGGGGGGGGGGTGGGAATGGAAGAATGTGACCTCCCTCATGCAGTTTCTCTGGAGAGAGTAGCACCTTACCTTGCTGGGATGTTTAGGGGTGCTTATGAGAGGCTCAGTCTGGTCCCAGAATAAATACCTGGGGTTGGGGCGGGGATGGGGGAGGGGGGTGGGGCTGGGAACGGGGGTGGTGCCTGAAGGTCCATCCAGGAGTGACATGAAAGTTTCTGACTTCCTTTTTCTAATCGGGCCATGTTGCTTATTATTTATTGCCGTAGTGGGACTGCAGTCCTAGATTTTGGGAGCACAGTCTTCATTGAATCATAAACTCCCAAGACTGGTTGTTCCATTTCCTAAGCTGCGGCGTGGAAGGCAGTTTCTTCATGCGAAATCTGGGCCAGGAGACTAAGCCCTCTGCATTCCTTCCACCCCACCAGCTGCCTGCAGGGCCCATCACCCCCAACCTCCCCCGGCACTAGTGGCACTCTCCTCTGTGTCGGCACTGTCAGGCCCAAGGAGCAGCCCATATGCCCCCCCCCAAGCACCGTCAGGAGTGATTCCTGAGTGAGAGCCAGGAGTAACCCCTGAGCATCGCCAGGTGTGACCCAAACAACAACAGCATCAACAAAAAGCCAGCCAGGAACCTGCTCTGACCTGGAGGCTAGTCCTGGGACGTTCTGGGCCCTCAGTGGGAAGGAATTTCATCATCTGTCCTAAGTGCTGATTCATTTAAAGCAGCGTTGAGAGCCACAGAGATAGAACAGGGGCTAAGGCACTTGCCTGCCTGCAGCTGATCCCGATCGTCTCGCACACCACAGACGTCACCCAAGCCATGTAGGAATGACCCCTCAGCAGAGCCAGGAGCAGCCCCCGAGCACAACCAGGGCACCCCAAACCCCATCAATGAATACATTTTGTCTAAATGAAGCATGCAATGGGTCGGTTCTTTTGCAAAGCAGCATCCAATACCAGTACCAATACCTGTCCTCCCGTTGTTGATCGATTTGCTCCAGCGGGCACCAGTAACGACTCTATTGTGAGACTTGTTGTTATTGTTTGTGGCATATTGACTATACCACGGCGTGTTTTCCAGGGTGGGGTACTCTCGGTAGCTTGCCAGGCTCTCCGAGAGGAATGGAGGAATCGAACCCAGATCGGCTACATAACAAGGCAAATGCCTTACCCGCTGTGCTATCACTCCAGCCAGCAAAGCAGCATGCTTTGTAAAATACATCATCAGTCCTTCTCTTCTGGGTTTGGAATGCCTGTATACTTGGGGACACCCTCTAAGTTTTGGAAACAGACCTGGAGAGAGGGCTCCAGCACTTGGCCCCAGCAGAACTGAGCTTCTCAGCCTCTAGACTGTGAGATCAAGACAGACTCCACCCTCTCCTCTCTGTGCACGATGGTTGACAGTGTGGCCCAGAATGAGGGAGGGCAGCAGGAAACATGCAGCTCTTGGGTCAGAGACAACATGTGTTAGCTTGGGCATCAGCACATCTGAATCCGTTCCCAAAGGCGCCCAGAGGGTCCCCCGGGCTGACGGAGCGGACTCTGGGCAGGGTCGCTGGTGTGAAGGAAAAGCAAACCCCTATCACCAGGGGTTGGCTGGTACTGAGAAGCAGCTCTGTACAGGCTGTCCCACACGTGCAGGGGAGTAACCGGGGGTCCGGGAGCTG